GAAACACGCTGAAGTTGATGTAGTATCTAAGGAACCTGCAGCGTTCCCCTTTGCTCACTTGTGTGTGTTGATTTCCACGCAACATGCAGAATTCATGGAGTTTTTAATGACTCGCCTTGTTAAAAAATGTCCATATGTCTTACCACGCTATCATATTCAACAGGCCGTAGGTTATTTGTGGTTTTTTTTTTGTTGAAAAAGACATCATATCTGCTGCCTGAAATTAGAGATATTAAATATATTTATTCATTCTATAGAATCAAAGTCCGGAAGAATATAAGAAGCAAATATCATATAAGCCAAATGAAGACAAAGATGCTTATGTTAATCGAATGTGTGCAATCGTAGCCCTATATTGTGCAATAATGCAAACAGAACCTTTATATCCTCGTATGTTTAATAATCAATGTATAATGCTATTTGTTGATAATAACACCTTATTGTATCATTAACCGTTGATTTTTGTTTCATGCCTTGAAGAACTTAAAAATCCATATTATATTGACAACGCTTGGACATATCTAGCGCGTTTAATGAATCTGAGGCCTCAAAAAATTACGCCATCGCTTCTTTATATTTGCTTAAAGGTGACTAAATAGCATTTACAAGCACTTATACCAGAATTATTATTTTATCTAATTATCTTTTATTACTTAGATTACTGGTTCGAGTCTTTATCGTGCATATAATCATCACGCATTGAAATTATTTTCTGTTGTCTACAAAAGCTACGTTCAAAACCCGCCTTTGGAAGTTCAATCATTGTTGACAAGCTCACCGGCTGCAATGTCCAGATTACGAACATTACTTGAAGATGCGTCTAAAAAAGGACAATTTCCAGTTCCAGAAGGACAGACTCCTGACTAGAGTTTAGAACCGGGTTATAGTAAGCCGGGTCACCCGTGTCAAAACGGTTCAACCGGGTCAAAATTTACAACTCGGATCAAAACGGTTGAATATGTACCCTCTAAAAATCTGTTACTATTACACAGAAAACATAAAATTTAACACATTATTGTTAGGAATGGTAAAAAAAAAACGGTTTAAACAGTTTTTTAACCATTTTCTATTGTTTTAAAAACATCAGCGTCTAATTTTAAAATTTGGCTGAAGTTAAAATTATCGTCTCTGATTGGCTAATTTTAGTTCAGCTGATTTGATCGTTAGGAGAATTTTTCAAAAAAACGATGCTATATAATTTCGAATTTATTACATAATTTATATTGATCGTTTTAAGATTTTAAATGCATGATTCGCCTATCGGCAAATACAAATTTCATTCTGTACTAATTTACATTCGTTAGTATTGAAAATCCTTGCAAATATTACCACTATGTAAATCTCAAATTTTTGAGAATAAATTATGTTTATTAGAAGTTCAAATGTATTTTTTTTAAAAGGGGTCTTCCGCGAATTTAATATATTTTTGAAGATTGTTTTAATTTTTACGGTGGGGCCGTTTTTTTATTAATGTTATATTAATAATAACGCAATTCGGATCATTATTACATCATAATGTATTAAACCAATTTTTAACAGATTTAAGATCACGTTTTAAAATCATTTAATTATTACACATATCGGCGGATTTTTGGAATTACTATTAAAAATTCCAATAATAATTAACTATGAATAACTTTTGATCCACTGGT